AGAATCCCTGTGGCGATAATGAGGTTTTTTTTTTACATGGAAAGAAAAAAAGATGAAATTGGATTTGAATGTGAATGAAGCATTAGGTCATGGTCTGATGTTGTTTTTTCCTGTTTGTGATCACATTRAGATGAAAGAGCTTGTGACCTTGTGCAGCTCATTCAGTGTTTTTGACAACAGGACTCTTTTCATCACCAGTAGCTGACTCTGCCATCATGAAATTGCTCTCGCGCTCTTTGGAAAAGGGAGACTCACTTTTCCACAACTCATCAACCACAACACAAAGATCACACACACAAAAAAACACACACACACTGGACGAGCTTCCCGGCTCATCTGCTTATGAGACTCTGCAGCATTTATAACGGCGAACGGCACCACAAATCTTCACTGACGCGTTGCTTTCACACACCGTCGTATCAGTGGCTCGCATTTATCAGGGGCCGAGACACGTGTTTGTAGGTAATTAATCAGAAAGGTGGCGTCTGGCTGATGAATGTCAGCGGTGTGGCAGGAGACAGGCAGGGATTAGCCACCAAACCCAATCTCTCCCTGCTATCGTTACGCAACCCCTGTTAATGAAGCCGTCTTTGACAAATGCGGATGAGTGTCACTTAGTGAACACAGAGTTGCATATCAAGAGGGCAGGCTTTCATCCTTCTCCCCCTCACCCTTCCTGCTGCTTTGAGAGGGATCTGTAGTTGTTGCATTAACCCAGTTTGCTGTGTATTGTTGTTGGCATGCCCACAGAGATGAGGTCGGGTCCGACCGAGATGGGCTCAGTTATCAGGAAAAGCTGTTGCGGTGTTAGTGTTAGTGATATAAAGCCACTGGAATAGCTGTAATGTTTTCCTCAGAGTTTGCTGTTCTCTTTATTTTTTGCCGTTGTCAGCCTTTTTTTTTTTTTACCAAGCTATAAAAAGATCCAGCTTTGATAAATATACTGCTCCTACAAAACAGCATTTGAAATGTCTGCATGTTCACACTGAAGGTCCTTCATCTCATGGTCTCTTTCACAACTGGGACCAAATGAAAATATGACCAAGTCTTTTGGTGGCTAATTAATTTGCAGAAGATCTTTATTTCCCAGAGGTACTTCTTCATATACTTTAATTATTCTAATTATGATCATGTTTTAACTAAGATCGCTAAAGTAAAAGCTGCACACTAAAAAAATATGGTTTTAAACAGCTTCATTTGTAAACCTGATCTGGGTAAAACTTGGTCCAGTTCAACCTTGGGTAGTTTTAATTTAGCATGGGTGGGTCATTAGTTTGACCCAGAACAGTGGCTGAAGCTTTTTTACCCAAAGATTTGATTAAAATCTTTCCAGGGTGTACCTCACCCCTTGTGGTGACTGCTAGAGATAAATACCTGCTCTCTGCAGGATGAATGGATGAATGGATGGATGGATGGATGGATGGATTTACAAATTACTGAAGAATAAACAGATTAATTCATCTCCAGCTCCACTGGTTCTCTGCTGTCCTGTTCTTCTTGTAGTGAAGACAGATCAGTTTATTATATTAATCCCTTCAAGTCAAAGTGTTGAAGATAAACTGACAAGTTTTAACCACTTAAAGACCATTAATGTGTGTGTGTGTGTGTGTGTGTGTGTGTGTGTGTGTGTGTGTGTGTGTGTGT